GAAGCACACACGAGATCTTGGTAAGATGGACACTGGGTAACGCACACACACTGAGCAACACTTGCTGACATGGCTTGACAAACACCAAAATATTCACAGGTCTTGTTGATGCATGGATCAAGATCTGAAATATAAATCCATGGAAATTGATGGCGAAAATATAACAAAAATATTACAGGAAACCTATAACTGAAAAGCGCGCCAAAATCAAAAGGTTGAAACACTCAAAAAACAGGAAAGGAAAAGAAAAGAATATACCTCCAAACACCATGTAGTCCACCTCGATAGGATGATGTTTGTTGTTCAGCCCRACAAGGTCTTTAACACATGTTTTAAAGTGTGTTCGTGTAGTTTCCTGTAAGAAGCAAATCATTTGGCAGTTGAAAAAAAACATAAGCTATGAGAACAATACTTCTAGCTCACCTCAACCCAGGCAGCAATGGAGTTGTCTTTTGGATGAATGGCATTGACATTACTGCTGTCATAGTGATGACTTGGAGCAACAACGATTGTCGGTGGAGCATAGTACGGCTCGTGGAAACTCACAATCTGAAGACAATAAAGGTATTTGTAGAAAAAATAATCAGCTTTAGACCTACTCACACTCTGATTTTGATGAGATGCTACAACTAGTTTCTGGTTTACCTGGCAAAACGCATCATTGTCAGCCTCGCTTGGTACAAGAGTGTTTGGAAAGTCTACTCTGATAAAGTCATGATAATTCCATGTCTGGGGAACTTCAGTCATTGCCATCCAAGTCTACAAAGAAGAAAAAACAAACGTTTAAGAGATCCCGAAACAAGTTCATCCGAAAGACTATAAGCGATTTTCGAACGTGCGAAAAAATCGTCATTTTTGATAATGAACCAATCAACAACAATAGACCACAGATATTAGTGAACCTATGAAAATGAAAGAAGATATAATGCACCCTTTAGAGGATGCTGTTTTAACGGAATCAGTTATAAATTCATTAATTCACTGCAATCGTACCACATCGATGTCTTTATGGCGTCCATCAAAGGTTCTTGCCTCTCTCATGCAAACAGTAAAATCGTTTCTAGTGATTCCTTCCACCCAAACTGTAGCTGCATCATGCTTGTTGTCCAACACATTGTGATGTGCAGTAACGAAGACATGAGGAACACTTGCAAAGGCCTGGCGAAAATAAAAGAAATGAAAGGATTTTATTGAATGAACAGTAGTTGACTTTTGTGATTGTGTTTTGAAAGATGAAAAAAAGGTGAAAATGAAAGCAGATGACAAAAAAATATTACCACAAACCAAAACAGATGAAAAACAAAGAACTGAAAAAAACATAATAGTGTATTTGTACTCTCTTGCAGTAAGGAACTTAATTAAAAAGTAATAATTACAGCACAGATTCTAGTATAAATGATAAAATTGCTATTTACAAATTATTAAAAACTATATCAGAGAAAAAGAGGGAATAAGGCATACATATATAATTTATATGGTTTAAAACAGTGTCGGAATGTAAAAAAACACCTCTCTGTTCCCTTAGATCTGTATTGTGTCATAGAATTGTACAGGTAAAACTTTGGCAAGTTCCTCATTATATCATACTTTAATTCGTTAAATGCAGGTCTGGGTAGAAGATGATGTATGGGATGTTGTGGAGACTTCATTTGATTTATATACTAAGTGCATAAATAGTCTCTTGTAATTTCCAGTCGATCTAATTGAGCCAGTTGTAGAGCATTTGTATAATATAAATTTAGTAAATTATAAAGAAAATATTTAAAAAAGATAAAAATATAGCAAAATAAAAATAGAATTAATGGGATGTGAGGAAAATGCCAACGAAATCAAAGCACAACAAAAATACACAACAATAAAAGAAAACTAGAATAACAGAAAGGAAACAGGAGCAAATTTTGACATGAACACTCGAAAAGAAGAAAATGAAAAAATGATAGTTTACCTGGGAAAGACGAACTTGTTTGCATTCCGTTCCCGTCGTCCAGTCGTTCAACCTCACAGAGCCGTCCGTCACACCAGACTGGACGCCTTGGTAAGCAATCCAATTAATAGTCACATTACCACTTGATCCTACCCCATTCTCTACTAGACAGACTTTAAAACTACTTGTAGTGACAGACTCGACCCACGTGAACACTACGTCATGTACACGTGATGAGCTCGTGCCAAAACCAACTGACGTAAAGACTTTGACAGGATCAACTCCCGTGAAGGCTGTTGGGAAGGTGATAGTATCGCAGTAGTAATTATCAGGGTTTGTCTGGCCGATGCGAAGAGTTCCATGTTGAACTCCTAAAAAATACAAATGTAAATTAAAGTAAGAAATGACTTCTGTTGACACTAAAGAGTTTCTATGCTGTGAAAAATTACAAAATTATTTTGAAAAAAAAAAACGATTCCCAATTAAGAATATATGTTTTGGCGAATTGTTGCACTTGTTAATTAAAAAATCAAAAAACAATCAGTTACCTTTTGCAGAGAATACAGCAGATAAAACCAAGAAAAAGACATATAATAACTTCATTTTGCTTGTCCACTCGTCACGACGACTTGTAGCAACTGAAACAGTAGCCCTTTTATAGTGACCGTCTCAGCTTTAAACATTCTTGATCAACTTGGACTTTCTTCAGATTTCAGCTCAGTAGTTTAAAGTTAGCCAGTAGTGAGAAGTTGTTAATTGATCAATACTATTTGATCGAAGTTTGTATTCTCCATTCTTTAGAAATGTATTTTACTTAAGCGGTCGAGGAGAAGATGGAAGTACATCATTTGCAGCTTTGCATTCGATTGTGACTAAAATAGGTTAAATACGAACAGTTTATAAAGTCAAGAGATGTCTTTCAAGACAGAAATATTGTTTTTCAAAGGCTGGAAATATGTTCGCAGCATTTTGGATACTTTTCAGACTTTTCAATACTTTAAGACAATCTAATAATTAATCAGTAAGTAGGTCAATATGCAAGAAGAAAATCTTTCCCTTGTAAATTTCACAGTAAGGAACATCTTCACTGGTCTTCCGTCTTTAAGAATGTTGGCACAACACAAGGGGTACTAGACAAAGCGCAATACAATAGTTTGCAAGTTAAAGGTCGCTAATTAGATCCTTTTATCCGTGCGAAGTTAGCTCACATGGTTAATTTAAATACCCCACGTATTATTACAATGCATAAGGACTTCAAGCAATGAAATTAGGAATTACAATCGATTTGTCTTCATATTCTATGCACTACCATATCAATTGAAGGACCTGCAGTTCATCGGGGCAGATTCTGTTTTTGTAGTCATTTGCAAAACTATAGGAATCAGATTATATGTAGCATAAAATAGTTGACAATGACAATATCAATATGTGATAGTGCAAACTTGATTTTACCAAAAAATGCATTAATTTTCACTTATGAGCTACTCTTTATTGATGTACTTATAATTGTAAGCGACCTGATCGAAATTCTACAAAAAAAAATATTGGACAGCATAATGACATATTTGTATTGTCATTAATTCACGACTATAAAAAATCGTGCGATATGTCACAGTCGCCGACAGGGACACTGGGGACTAGGCACTAAAACGAGGTCTTAAAAGCCAGCCTTCATATAGTAAACTTCGATCGGTGTCTTACAAGAGTGTTTTGTCATAAATAACATACCGATACATCTTACAATCTTTTGAAAACTGACACTCATGTAATCTTCGTAGTGAGTTTTATAGCGGATTTCGTATGACTGTGCAAAAAAACACGGTACGTTCGTGCTGTGTCCGTACCGTGCCGTAGCCGTGATGAATTGGAAAATCTTTACTTTCATTTGAAATCCTAGAAGGCGAGGTTCCGTGACCGTGCCGTGCCGTATCCGTGTTGTGATCCATGCTTTTGCACAGTCATACGAAATCCACTATAGATGTAAGTCTTAATTGAGGTCTCAATCTGAATGTAGCCTGCGTAGCCAGGCGTTCCTAGCCGCTCCGAGAAAATTTGGGCCTAACGCAGGTTACAATGAATGATGTGGATGGGAAGATTATGAAACAATAAAGATTATGTGTAATGAATTTATATGAATGTCGCAGTGTAGATAATAATCCAAGCTATTATTAAGAAATGTAAAGATTATACCACTACACATTTAATCCACAGTGTTAATCTGATTTATCAAAGACAAAGAAAACAAAAAAAGAAAAGAAAACGAAAAGAACAAATAGATCTCTGAAGCTTTTACGTCATCCACTTGATTTCCAATGCATTGTGGGATTAGTATCTGTACAAAACAAAATCTTTCGGCTATGCTTTTTCTCCAAAACTACCTACAATGCATTGCGTATACGTTTATGACTCAAAAGCTTAAAAGGTCTACTTCAAATTGAATACAATACACAATGCACTTGTGCCTTTAAAAATGTTCGCACAACACGGGTCAACGAATAGCAGCGAAATGGAATAGCTTCCATGTTTTAAGCCGCTTATGCATTTTTTTGGAGCGAAATTWCCCCATCGCAATTATGATTATGACACAACAAAAACATCGTTTGTTTTAACGCTGAGGATTATGGCCGTCAGAGGGATACAGAGTGACGGCATATCAGAGAAAATGTACCTTACCATCTATTATTAATAATTGATGTACGTACATTGAAGTTGTACTTTCGGAGGTAATATGAATATACTGAACTTTTCCACGTTTTCTGAGCATTTATTTTCACCGTTAAAGATACTGTCGCGTCATTAAAATTTTTAAATATTTAAACTGAACATGTGAGCTACGTACTACCCTAATTGCTAATTACATAWTGACTCGACAGCATCTTTTATAACAGTAAAAGTAAATGCACAGTGGTGTGGTAATGTGATGGTGTATAAATCTAGGCCATGCATGTGACCACTTGGCGACATTATCAAAAATATCGTGATTAGCATTACCTTTTAATGCAAAATTTTTACCTCAAATTTAAGTTTAAAACTTTTCTTTATCATATAATTATCTATAAAATACCTATATTTCTCCATTACGTAGTAAAATTGATATTTTCACTAGTGAAAATAACATGTTATTTTCGCTAGTGAAAATAACACATTCGAGGTTTCTCTATATAGTGGAAGTAAGAAAAAAGATATTTTACGACATAATTTGCTTTCATATTTAATTATATGATAAACAGAATATTACATGGTCGCTTTGAGATACGAATTTTATCTTCTCGTGTTGAAAATCGTTCGCTACGCTCACTCGTGAGAGACCTTTTCAACACTCGAAGGTAAAATCCGCGCGCCCATGTAATATCCTCTATATATCAAGCGTACATAAAGCGTACATATTTAAAGAGCAATAATTTATTTATATACCACTCGACCTAATTAWAGTGACTTGAAGAACTCCGTTAGGAACTATTTTCATTTAAAAGGAAACATGATGCTGAGCGCTTTTTTGYGATTGCATTATTTTGTGTCTTCTGATCTAGAAGCATTTAAAATAATGCAAATGAAAAGACATTAGCCAAAGAATCATTATAATTATAACCAATATTTCTGATCGGAAAATATCAAAATAATTAAAGAGCACTTTAATACATTTCGACGGCAAAGTAAATTCTAGGGAGTGACATCAACAAAGTTTRTTAGTGCTTCACTAATAATTTTCAACTTAACTGATTAATTGCACTAGGTTGCAAGACAAAGCTGTTTGTTCTTGATCTGGTTTTCCATGATTCTAAGTATGCAGAGGACGTACTGAATTGTCCTTCAGTGACAATATTGTTTGTGATTTGCTTTTGATCATGATTTCTTTGACGTTCAACGACGTCTGTTAGTAACACTTTAGTTTACCAAGTYGRTARTAAGCATCTTCATKGCTGYYATCAGTATCTGAAAACCTCATCTCTGTCACCGGTAGAGTGGACTTATCAGTCAGCAGACCACTGTCAGTGCGCCACCCAATATCACCACTATTATGACAGTTACATCCACGGCCTTTATGACACGAGTTTGTCATACCACAGGCACATTTGTAGCTACCTGGTGTCGCTCCTCCCCAGTAGTGCTGATTTACACCATCACGTGACACCCACCAAGCATACGAGTCCTCAATAAAAACAATATCACCAGTACACTGATATTCGATATATTGGTCGCATTGTGAAGATATTGCAGTTAGTTTTGCTAACTGGGCGATAGAAGCTCCAGTATAGGCAACATATCGGATGCAGGAACCTGGATAACCAGGACAGTTGTGCGCTCTAGTCGTTGATTCGCTATCATGGCTGATAACCGTCACCCCCACCCCACTCTTGTCAGTCATGTCACAATAAACCGTGTATGGTGACTCTCCATTTTGACCATCTGGATCAATGGTGTAAGAACCTGATGATGAAGCGGGAAATGTGCTCTTTTGATCCTTACAAGACCTTGGATATGCTGGAAGTAACATCAGTAAAATATTAATATGAGATATGAAATGAAATGACTATTGGTGGTATGAATACTTTACTATATGACACCTCATACTAATACACTGTAATCGATGGATGTTGCCAAGTGCTCGAAATGCAAACTTGTGGCATGCATGATATATTAACTCTTTCTCGTCCGCCCGTTGAAATTTAGGTTGAATTCGACCTATGCGTCAAAAATCTATAAGTTGCCGAGATAGTAAGCTAGAGCCCTGAAATTGCTCGTACGAACTTACTAGTAGATACTGTCGATCTTACAGTTGAAAGAATTTCGCAACGAGGAAACAAAAGACACAAAACAAGACTCTGCTTTGAAATGAATGCCAAAATCTGAGTTTGAAGGACGGCAGAGTACACTGATTTTCATCTCAATTTGTAGCGTCAAAATATGTTCTCTTAGCAAAAAGTCCATGTAACGGCGATAGAATAATTTTTGTTTTCTTTGTTATATGAATTTAGTTTGTCACGTCACGTTAGTCCCTAGTGTATTGTAGTTAAGTTAAAATCATTGACATTTGCATAATCGTCCTCTTTACCGTTTACCGTCTGAGCACATACATTGTTTTGTAAGTAATATTTCGTTTTATCTTCTTTCGTTTATAGATTTATAGACTGTACCATCGATGTAATTTTTTGTCTTAATATATCTTCATGTATAGGAACCAGTGTAACTGTAAACGTAACCGTAACCGTAAATAAATGGAAACCTGAGTTCGAAACTATGCCTCATGTCAACTTAACGTAAACCGCCAGAACAGTCCACTTGGTTTGCAAACCCCTTTGATAGAACGTCCTCATTTCGATGTTTTTATTTTGTCAAATGCACTGCAGATTTTTAAACAGCCCTCTTTTGAAGACCAGGTACAACAAACTTCTATGCAAGATCGAAATGCATCACGGGAAGACGGAAAATTTGGACATAAATCGTGCAGCATTCTTCTTTTAAGAATTTTTGTAGAAGTGTGAGCTCCCGCGCACCTACAGGCAAAATATCGGGCCAATTGCATTCTTTGGTTGTCAAATATTGCCAAAATTACCTTGGTAGGTTGGAAAATCTGCCACAGATGGACCAGGAAAGCGATCTTACAATGATGTCTCCAGTTCAAAGCAAACCGTGACTTGGAGCCATTGTCTTCGAAAAATCGCTTTCCACCTCTGATTTCTTCCAGAAGATTGTCTCTGCCGACTAGTCAAGCTTAATGATGCAAGCCTAGGGGCTCCTGTGGCAGCAAAAAGCTCAAAAACACTTATAAACGGGTTTTTAGGTAAATTTAGGATCAACCAGTCGATAAACAAACGGTCTGACCTACTTGACAAAGCCCTGAATGAATTAATGCTCCCTAAGGAATTCAAATCCGAAATAGTTTTATTGACAGCACCTTATATGGAAGTCAATTATTTTATCAAGATGTTACTAAATTGACTAAATTGGGTTGATCATTAGTTATATGGAAATCCAGTAAATAAATTTAGCTTCAATGAATGATATGTAAAGAAAAAATCTTCAGTGCACTCCAAAATTATTCGGAATATCGTAATCGCATTTTTTTTTTTTTTGTGCGGTTTTGGTCTTTCCAAAAGAGTACGGTCTACTGACAGTTCAATTTGAATTGGAAAATGGAATCTGAGGCAATGATTCAAAATCGAAAAATAACGAGCCACTTTCAATCGCTTTAGTATATAAAACTGTATAGCCTTGATAGAATGCTATTTACTCACCTCTGCATGTGAGTCCATCACCGAATCCACTGTTACAACGACAAGTGTAAGATCCAACAGTATTTGTGCACTGTGCATTTGCATGACAAGAATGGACTCCGGACGAACATTCGTCGGTATCTAGTGTATAAATGTTAACACACTTGTGTATATTCTCGCGCGCTGATTGGCTGACTACAGTGAGAGTAGTGAGAGTCAATAAGAGAACATGCACACTGTGCTGACACCAATAAAAGTTCATACAACTCAAAACGCGATTTGCGCAATTTGTTAAATAGAGCAACAATGTCAACACGTACTAATCGATATCGCTAATTAAGGAAGTATTATGTTTATACCTGTACACGTGTGTCCGTTACCATGGAAACCAAGATTACATTGACAGCTATATGACCCAACTGTGTTAGTACATTGTGCATTAACATTGCAAGTATGGGCACCTGTTGAGCATTCATCGACATCTATGAAGAACAATAAACTTAGTTAGTGACCCATAACCATACTGTACAATCGATATTGAATACAGAAATACCTGAGCAAGTAAGACCATCTCCATGGTAACCATGCTTGCACTGGCAAGTGTGAGATCCCAAGATATTTGTGCATTGTGCATCAACATGACAATTATGGGAACCTGAAGTGCACTCGTCGACATCTGAAAGAGAATTTTATGCAGCCACATGTGCGAAAGTTCGGAAGAGAGGAGTACTTGATCAAGAAAGGTGTCGAGTAAACCTCAAGAGGTATTGTTGCCCTTGGTACCGGTAATGGAGGTTAATTGATTATGGTAAGATATTGTCCGCACATAAACTATTTAAACAAGGCAATTTCCTAATCTATCAAAACACTTCTTCATTTCTTCATGGCCAAGATTTTCAACACAAAATAAAAAAGTCAGTTTCCGATGGTGCAGCCTGCAAAGAGCCTATGTTTCTACCTGTACAAGCCCAGCCGTCACCATGAAATCCCGGATTACATTGACAAGTGTAGGTTCCAACAGTGTTAGTACATTGTGCGTTGGTATTGCAGCTGTGGGAGCCATACGAACACTCGTCGATATCTGCAAAAAAGTAATATCAGTATTTCGCAATCTTGCTTGACCAGAAAGTCAGCATTCCAATTTAATGTACAATATTGACACTTGAAATGGAGTACCAGTGATTTATATATACCTGAACAATTCCTCCCATCACCACTAAAGCCAAGGTGACAACTACAGGTGTAGGACCCAACATTATTCGTACACTGCGCGTTGGCATCACAAGTATGAACAGCTGAAGTGCATTCATCAAAATCTATTAACAGATCAAGGATTTATCAGTAAGTGAACCAAGTGAAATGATTGATAACTGAGTGTAAACCGAATACCTGAGCATGATTGTCCATCACCATTGTAACCAGGATTGCACTTGCAGATGTATGATCCAATTGTATTTGTGCAAAAGGCGTCAGGATGACAAGAATCAACCACGGAACATTCATTTATATCTTGAAGGAAAAACATTGTAAAGACCTCGGGCATATGCACAATCATATATGGAAGTCGTACGACAGATCCTTCTCCAGCTACTATCGTTATTGTTTAGGATTTTGTCATACAATAGAGCAAACGCAGGAAAAGCATGACATAAAATCAAACTAAATACTAACAAAGAGCGGCTATTTAGAGACAGTTTGTCAGTATCAATGAACCAGAACACAATGAAGATGAAATTACATGGGACCATCTTTCATTCATTTTCATTGCGTTCTGGTTCATTGACACGGAAAATTTGTTTCTAAACAGTCGCTAGCTGTTAGTATTTAGTTTGATTTTATTTCATGGTTTTCCTGCGTTTGCTCTACCATATAAGTCAAAATTACATACATTAAAAGAATACTCAACGTTTTGGTAATAAAAATCAAAATAGAATTTACAGGACATATCCAAAACCAACAAAGACGTCTAAAATACGGTAGCATGAATACAACCAACCTCTTTTGCAAGTGTATGAGTGACAGGAACCACAAGTGACGTCATTCCAGTGATATTCATGACGTAATCCCARKGTATGAACACAATCCTGGTCTCCAGGGTAACCGTTTGGTTGGTTCTTCGCCCAGTACGTAAAGTTAACATTGGTACCGTCAATCCARGTAAAGTTTCCTTCACTGTCAATGTCTTGTAGTCCTATCCATCCTGTATCACCGCCGTGACGATGYTGAATGTACGTGTTTTCTTCTTGGCTGGTGACACTGGTCAGATTGGAGTTARCATCAAKACAGTTGGACTGAGCTGCATTCCAAGARGCACAKGAAGRGGTGGTCTTRTAGCAGAAGCCATTRAAGTAGYTCCAGTCTTTCCCACACATGTCTAAAAMGTGAGAATATTGAGGAAGGTAAAATATGATAAGCATATCTTTCGGGAATCAGAATCAGTGAATTTTCAATGTGAAAAATAGGGAAATGTTTTTTTTTATTATGCATCCTTCTTTGAGCCTTATTGATATTTCAACCTCATTCATATTTCAGYTTCATTGGTTTCTCAACTTCAATGATATTTTAACCTCATTTCACTATGGTAACCATTGGAAATGGTCTTTACAAAATTGAAATTAGGCTCCAAAAGGACTTATAACTGTGATAAAACAGCAGCTCTAAGTGGGATGTGCGACTGCTGTGACTGACAGTTAGCGTCCCGTAGGAATGTTTGTCATGATTTTAGTGTTTAAGTGTCATATTACGAGTTGATTTAGGATTAGTGTTCTTAAGAGTGGTCATGCTATTTCTGTGTGTTCAAATTTAAGGTAACCTTTTATGTTCCTTTTATAATCAATGTAACGCATGATTCTTTTATTACATGGGCTTCCTGTGGAAGACCATGTCTTAAAATGTCGATGGTTTTTCGTTTTGTTGTGATTTTTCGGCTTCAAAGTGGTAGCGCCCGCGATTTCGATAGTCTGCAGTCTCCGTTTCCATAGCGATGCTGAACCTTTCATAATAATTCGGCCTCGTGGTTAGCTCGACGGACTTGAAGAGGAGTTTTATCAAGACTGCAAGCTTAAAACAATGAAATAAATCAAAACTAGAGCGCTGATCATACACAAATGCACACGCCGTTCGTGCTAGGCCCACTCTAAAAGATGCTCACCGTAATTAGCAGTTTTAGCAGAGTTCTTACTAGTTCATACGAGATCTCAAATGATTCAAATGAATTAATATCACTATAACTGACAAAACTACTAAAACGTACATACAAACTGATTGCATACCCTGAGATGAAGTCAGATGCGACTGAAGTCAAGAATCTCAAAATGCGAACAACTTGTCAAGGAGAGCAATCAATCGCGGTGGTCAGGAAGAAAGCCTCGCAATGGACTCAAAAGCAATTCTTTCTTGTTCAATTTCTTCAATCAATATTTTAAAACATTCCCTGAAGGGAGTATTTTAGATTCTCATATTTATACTTATGATATTCAGTACTGATATAGACGCATTAGGCAAGGTTTTTGTAATCTTTATTGTAAGTTTCCAACTTGCTCAGCTTCGCTTCTTTGCACATGGATGGTTAGCTATGGTTGTATACAACGTTTTGGTTCATAACTTTTCAAATAGTCTAGATGACTGTGATATACTAGAAAAAACTAATAATTTTTGTAATGTCAACAGTTGTAATGATGTTGTTGTGTCAATAAAAGTACAAAACTTCAGATTTCGCTATGCAATATGTCTATTATAATCATTGCACTCGTGTTGTTATTTCGCTACAATAAAAAGAAAAACTTTTAACGCTACTTCACAATAGCCCCTGCTTACAATTGTTACAGGAAGACCATGTTAACGCTCCTTGAGCGTCCAGTTTAGATTATTTAGAGAATACTATTATTTTATACGTGTGTTTTTGGGACATTAGTTAGAAGTAATTGTGTAATCAAAGATCTTGTTATAATACTATAGGTTTAGATCGTTTTTTTATATGATAATATTTAATTGTATTCTAGTTTTACGATTACGATATTAAAGTTTATCAAGATCCGTGAGAAGCCACTAGCCATAGCTTCGTTGGTTTCTACAGGATATCACAGACCATCACAAGATTTGGAATGCGTAAAAAGTGTTTGTTCAGCAATATTTGATTGAGTTACCTGATACAACCACGTACTGCAGGGTAACAGGATCATAACGGTCCGAGTACAACTCTTTGAGGCAGACACGGAATGTTTGTGTTGTGATATCCTGTAAAGAAACAACTTCATGAGACTTTTAAAAGGTCAAGAGCAAAGGGAAAAAGGGACAACTGTTTCTGGGAACCTTTCTTTGCAAGTTTTTTTTCTATGAAAGGCACTAAGACATGATTTAGTTCTGTAAGTCCCCTGGAACATAAAGCCAGAACACAAATCAACCGTAAGAATCCATAAAACAAATCAACATAATGAAATAAACATGCATGGTACGATATTTACAGCCGTGCTTCAGTTTAGATAGGAACAAATTGTTCAAGGTTTTAAAACACAAGTGAAGAGGAATTTTTAAATTCCTATTTTTTTTTTAAAGCTACATAATGCCAGAACACAACAACATCAAAACAAAAATACCAAAGGAAAGTAATTATAATGATATGAAAAAATGAAAACATGTTTGCTGTATGACATAACGGTTTAGAAGAA